ATCAACATCATCCACATTACCATTTCCTTTAGGTGTAGACTTCTTCTCCTTATCAATATCTTCAATGGTTTGATCTTCCATGAATTGCACATCACGACTTCTAACAACTTTCTTTTCAACGGGGTCATACAACTTGTAGCCAAATTCATCCCGACCAAAACCAATAAAGATGCATTGCCTTGTCTTCATATCCAACTTGGATCTTTCATCCTTCGGAACATGAACAAATGCTTTACAACCAGAAGACACGTAAATGATCATAAGTAACATTCTTGCCAAACCAAATCTTGTCCGGCACCTCGAGTTCAAAGCAAGCTGCAGGACTTAGATTAATAACATGCACTGCTCGTAAACAATGCCTCACCCCGAAATGCTTAGGCAATTTTGCTTGAGAAAGCATACACCTAACTCTTTCAATCAATGTCCTGTTCATCCTCTCCGCTAAACCATTCAGGTGAGGAGTTTTAGGAGGAGTCTTCTCATGTGCAATACCATATTGTCTACAATAAGCATCAAATGGTCCACAATACTCACCACCATTGTCGATACGAATGCGTTTCGGCTTCTTGCCTGATGCCTCTCAACCAAAACATGGAATTCTTTAAACTTGTCCAACACTTGGTCCTTTCTCTGTAGTACATAAACCCAAAGCTTCCTGGAACAATCATCAATAAAGGTAACAAAGTAAAGTGCACCACTAAAAGACTTTACCTTCAATGGGCCACAAACATCAGAATGCACCAATTCAAGCAACTCGACTTCCTGGAGGGAGGATGCTTCTTGAAGGATACTCTGGTTTGTTTACCGACCATGCAATGAGAACATTTCTCCAAATCTACATTCTTCAATCCTGAGAGAACATCCTTTTTAAATAAGCGGTTAAGCCCCTTTTCAGCGATGTGCCCAAGCCTTACGTGCCACAAAGATGACTCCATATACACGAATTCACACTATCTTTAGCAACCAAAGCTTTTGTCCGAGTAAAGCTTAGAGTTTTTCTCCCCTTTAGCCACAATCAAGTTACCTTTGGTGAGCTTCCACTTTCCAGAACCAAAATGGTTATAATATCCACCATCATCAAGTACACCTGCAGAGATCAAGTTAAAGCGAACATCCGGAGCATGTTTAACTCCTCTAAGCAACAAGCTGCATCCCCATGTTGGTTTGCAAGTGAACATCACCAACACCAACAACTTTAGACACCCCATCATTACCCATCTTCAATACTCCAAAATCACCAGGTGTATAAGATGTGAAGAACTCCTTCCTGGATGTAACATGCGGTGTAGCACCACTATCAATTATCCACATGCTCTCATCGGATACAAGACTAATAGTGTCATAATCACGAAGACAAACAAGGTCACCACATGTAGTAGTAGTAACACGATCACCATCATCATTATCTTTTTCTCTTTGCTTACCCTTTTTGTCTTTGCTCTCTTTCTTCCACAAAAAGCAGTTTTTCTTTATATGTCCTGTTTTGTGACAATAGTGACACTCCACATTCTTGTACCGAGACTTGGACTTGCTCCTGCTTTTATCTCTACCACTGTTTTGTTCTTTCTTTTGGTTTCTCCCCCTATTCTCTGTAATAAGCACTTCTGAATGAGATGAAGTACCCTGTGTCTTCCTTCTCATCTCCTCATTAAGAGCACCACTCTTTGCCATTTGCAAAGAAATATCACCATTAGGGGTAGCACTTATCATGGAAACCCGAAATGTCTCCCACGAATCCGGTAAAGAGTTTAATAGGAATAAGCCCAATAGATCATCATCAAATTTTATACCCACTCCGACTAATTGATCATAGCGTCCTTGAAATTCACTCAAGTGATTTGAAACATGAGTTCCTTCCTTGTACTTCAACTCCACAAAATTTTTCAGCAAGTACAATTTATTAGTCCCGACTTAGAAGCATACAAGGACTCAAGCTTATCCCATAGGCTTCTCGCATGTGTCTCATTAGCAACAAAATTATAAACATTATCATCAACAAAGCTGCCGATAAATCCACATACCTGTTGATGTTCAAAATCCCATTCTTCATCCGACTTGGATTCGGCTTATTGGAAGCAAAAACAGGAAGATGCAAATTTTTCACAAATAACAAATCCTTCATCTTGCCTTTCCATAAGTGATAATTTTCTCCATTCAACGGAATCAATTTTGTATGTGCCTCCATCATTCACGCAAATTAAACGAGTCCCTTAACCTAGAGCTCGATACCACTCGATGGTATAAAAAAAAGGCCAAAAAACAAATATAACAACTTGACAAAGAGTAATAATGCAGCGGAAATTCAATCCCCCTTCTTGCGAGAATCGGCGAGGAGCACCAAACAAATAGAATCCAAAGCACAAAGAGACACCAACAATTTTAACGTGGAAAACCCCTCAATGCAAGGGTAAAAACCACGAGTCGTCCGGACCAAAGAAAAATCCACTATGATCAATAATGGGGTACACAAGAGTCTCCAATAATAATACCAAAAGGTATTTTCAATAAGCGAGAATTAACTAAGCACAAATGCTTACAAAAGAGAAACAAAGAAGATGAAAAATCTCCAAAACAGGGCTGCTGGTGCGGGACCAATTTCTCCCAATCTAGACCTTCGATTGACGATCCGAACGGTCAGAATGAAGAACCATATGTCTGGAACCTACTATCCAAAAATCAGCTCGATCCAACGGTGAACGACTTCACAGCGACGAAAACACCAGTGCAGATTTAGGGTTATGCGGAGATGACTTTCTCTCTTCTTTTTCTCTCACTAGACTTTTTGTCTTTTTTCAAATGACTCTCTTGTCCTCTACTAATCTGACCCATCTCATTTTACCCAAATGAGACATAATGGACCACACTATTTGGGCCTATTCTCCACATAGGAAGGGAGCCCAATAACCCAACACACCGTTCCACAAATCGAGCATTCATATATAAAAAACACTGATTTTTTGTTTTCATTATGAGCAAATAGAATCTCATCACAATGAAGATTGAAGTGACAAACACAAAAGGTACAATAATTATATCAAATTTGTCGTAATTATTTTTTTCAATATTTTAAAAAAAAAAAATATATATATATATAAACCCACACATCAACTTAATATCATTTCATGTGATTTTTTAGGATTAAGTTTTGATAACTCATTAATCCAAAATATAACTGAAAAAATTAATAATATTATCGTATTGCTAAAATAAGTTGTTAGATAAATATTTCAGTTATTAACAAAATATTTTTTTTAAGAAGCTTTTGTAACCAAATAAAAGAAAAAGTTGTCGGTAATAGTTAAAAATAAAATAAAATTATTATAAGATTTTATATATAAATTATTTAAAATTTAAATAAATAATTTGTACCAGATTTTACATTTTTTACACATATAATTTATAATAAAATATTTATTTTATTTCTAAAACAAGGCTTACTACCAGTTGAAGTCAAATATCTTATACAACCTGTATGAATGCATTTTACTTAAAAAAGTGTGTTTTCAAATTTATTTTCAATTACTCCACTCTTTTTATTTTTCTTAAACTATTAATGCATCTTATAAACATTTTTCTTTCAGTAAAAAAAAATTAATATTCGAATAAGCTTTTTTACTAAATTATTAATTTACCTTGTATCATTCAACTAAATTTATTAAGTTAAATTAATTTTTTAAAATATATTATTTTTAAATTATAGTCTTTTGTGTCTCTGGTAAAATTCACTTAAAGGTAAAATGATCGAAGTGTAAGTTTTAATTAATTTTTTTATTAAAGAGGATAATTTTTTATTAAATTTACGAAAATGATGTAAACTTTTAAAAATTATAGATTTAAATAATATGATTTTTTTTAAAACAAATAAATCATATTAGTTATACTTTTTTATATAAATTTATACCTAATTTTATATTATAATAATAATAATATATTTTATATTATTAATAATAAATTAAATAATAAAAATAATAATTTAATTTATATTATTATTAAAATTATTATTTATTTGAATATTAATAATACAAAACATATTATTATAATTATAATAATATTATATTAGAATTCCTTCAACTTTTAAGTGTTAACAAGTACGAATTTTTTAATTTTAAAAAAATTAAAATTATCTCATAAATATGACTTTGTCATATAAAATCTTATTTAATAATATATAATTTTAAAAAATTTACACCATTTTAATATTTTTTTTAAATTGTCCCCTTTAATAAAAAAAACCCTTTTTATTACCTAGCTGAATTAATAGGTATGTATTATACTGAATTTTCTAATATAAGACATTTTTAAATTAAAATGAATACATGTTTAAGAAAAACAAATATAAAGATAATATATGAGTAATTTAAAAAAATTAAAAGGATAAGATATATGCGATAGGAATAAAAGCTAGCAATTCAAAAATTTAAATTAGTAAATACTCTTAAAATATTAAACATTTTTATAAAAAACTGATCATGAAAATATTTGTATATGATTCAATTATTTTGTAGTCTCTGTTTCACTTTACTCCTCCATATTAAAAAAATATGGATTATGTAAAATTAAACCGGTTCACCGTTAAAAAGAATAGTATAATTCTACATTGTTATAACCTATTGTAAATATATATATATATATATATATATATATATATATATATATATATATATATATATATATATATATATATATATATATATAATAACTTATCTATTTCGTCTTATTTTAATTTATTCAAAGAACATTTGTTTTAGTCTCAAATTCAAAGAACACCATGCACCCAATTATGTTTCCCTTTCAAACAAACATTCCACTCCAAATGTGACCGTTACGCACACAGCACCCCCAACGTCTATTTTTTTTTTTTTTTTTTTCATTTTCAAAATTCAACCCACAAAGGTTCGATTTTTATACAACTGAATCAAACTTTCTTTGAACCCATCAAATCTTTCACTCACTCATTCACTCTCATTTTTCGATCATCTCTTTGCTCTGCAACACTCAGCATGGCTCTCAGACCCATAGACAACGCTCTTCCAACAACAACCCCAGAGAGACCCAAAAAACAACCCAAGATCGCTGTTGCAACCCAAAAACAACAAGATCGTGCTGCTGTCATCGATGGCGAAAACCAAGCTCCCTTGCCTTCATCGGGGGATGCCACTGTTGACTATGTCTCCTCCAACAACCTTAAACCCTTGTCGGATCCCGAAGTTAAGATTCAGGTGAGTGTGTTATTGTTTCTCTCATTTGCGTGATTAAAGATTTGAAATTCAATCTCCTCGGAGCATTTTTATCTGAAGAGGAAAAATGTTTGGAAATGCAGAGTTTGATTGGAGATTTGGATTCGAAAAACTGGAACAAGGTTTGTGAGTCGCTGAACAATGCTAGGCGATTTGCGTTGTTCCACTCATCCCTTCTGATCCCCATCTTGTAAGGGATATTTTATGTTTTTTCTCTTTGTTTAAATCTTCATGTTTATTGAAAAGCTTTGAGCTTTGGTTGTGAAGGCAATTGGGTTTCAAGGAACTTATGAGAATATTTTGTGGGCAGGGGAAAGATTGTGTTGGTGGTGGCGAAGACAATGAGGAACCCTCGGAGTGCTCTTTGCAAAACCGCTATTATGGCTGCTGCTGATATTTTCAACGCCTATGGTGACAAGTTGCTTGACCCTGAGACGTCTGATGCATTTGATGGCCTGGTACTTGGACTCAGATTTTTCCTTTGTGATGTGTTTTCTAGGGTTCAATGAAAACGTTTTTTTGTTTTTTCTTTTTTATCAAATTGGATTTAGACAGTACATTTTTTAAGGTTGTTTTAGTTCTCAAAATTGTAAAATGTTGTGGATTTCTGTCACATTTCGGAGAATACAATGACTAAGATCAGTTTTGATTGATTAATGGGTTGTATAATGTGTCGTTTGGTTGAATATCAACAGCTGCTGCAGTTGCTGCTAAAAGCCTCCCAAGATAAAAGGTTTGTTTGTGAAGAAGCTGATAGGGCACTTGGCTTAATGGGGGGTTCCATGACCCCTCTTCCATTGCTTCAGAAACTAAGGGTGTACGTGAGTCACAACAACCTTAGGGTTAGGGCCAAGGCTGCTGTTTCTCTGTCCAACTGTGTCTCAAAGATGGTGAGTAATCGTTGCAAACACTTGTCTCTCACTCTTTTATATTGTTGGTTTTTTGTCTATGCACTGTTCTAATGGGTATGAGTGATTCTTTTATGTGAATGTGAGCAGGGGCTTGAAGAAATGGAGCAGTTTGGGATGGCTAAACTGATTGAAATGGCAGCTGATTTACTGAATGATAGACTTCCAGAGGCAAGAGATGCAGCACGAAGTATTGCAACAGCAGTGTACCAGGCACTGACTAAGGACTCAGAACAGAAGATGGAGTTGTGGCAGGGCTTCTGCCAATCCAATTTGCCACCCATTCATGCTCTTTCAATTTTGAAAATTGTTAAGCCCTAGAAATTTAGCTTTATTTTTAGCTCATGTTTCTTCATGAGTGTTCACTTTATATTCAGTCATACCTTCAAGAGTAGCAATATTGAGCAATGACACTGTATAATCTCCCTTCATATTTATCAATCAGTTTCCTCAATCACAAAGCAAATGCGCACAGTTAATAAAGATTTTGGACGATTTCTTCATAAAATTGAGCTCTTTATAAACTAAAAATAAATAAATAGATAAGCTATACGTAAAACACTTCTATAAATTAATTTTATCTTTTAGTTAGTTTTAATTTATAAAGAAATTAGTTTCATATGTTTTTCTCTTTTAAAAGTCTTTGTAAATAATCTTCATTCAAAAATACCCCAACTAACTTTCTCTTGTTGTGATAATAAGTATTTTTTCATTCCTTCACATCCTTTCAATGATAAAAAAAAAAAAAAACTTAGGAGACATGCTTTGGGGCATTACTTTAATTTCCATAACACTTTGTGGCTTCTGGATTAACGTCAATCAAGACATGAAATAATATGAATTGTTTGTTTTTAGTTCTAAGGCATGAAACATGATTTATTAAGTTTTTTAGTTCTCCATATATTTATTTAACTGTTGATTTTGATTCTCATAAATTTAAACATTTTTTTGTAATGTTCTTTGCACCATATTCTGATATTGTGGGTCATTTTGATGTTAAAATAAAGCACGCAATAAGCAATGGTATAAATCATTTTTTAAAATTGTAAAAATTTGTAAAAGCTAAAAATAGTAAAAAACACCACATTTTTAAGAAATAAAAATTTATCGAGGCTTTTATTTGGCTTTCTATTATTACTTATTTGTGCATTTCGTTTATACATATGTTTATTTTGATAATTTCGCTTTATGATTTATTCCGCCTTTAATTAGTGCAAATATGGTGAATGAACTGAATTATTTGTGATCGACTTGCTTATATTAACGTGATTTGAAGAATAACGATAACGCACAATTAGAAACTGAATTGATAGATATATCGTATAAAGATAGTGCCAGAAATGCTTAAAGTTATATAGATACCAACCAACATTTAATGTGTATAAACACTGCTAACATTATATACGATGAGAAGTAAAAAGAGATCCAATTAACAAGTGTTTTGCATTTTCAACAATTATTTAGAATTTAGCTATATCCAGGAACCAACTTGACACTACCCTACCAACATGTTTACGAACTGCGTCCAACAAGAAAACCAGGTTATGAAAATAACCGTCTGTTTTAACGTTGTTCCCAATATCTAAAATATGTTAAGACATACTTCTTTATAGACATTTATAGAGAAAAAGAAAAAAAGAGAGAAGGAGATAAAATAAACTTTCCTTTAAACTAAAAATAACTTACATAAAATTTAAAAAAATATTTTTAAAAAATATATAAAAACTTCAACAAAATAACTTTTGCATAAACTAATTTTAACTTGTAATAGAATTAATAATAATTTCCTTGTATTTCTTTTGTTATAAATATTTATAAAAGGGCTTCTTCATTTGCTAAATGTCTAAATTATTATATTATGCTGTTATGTGTGGTACACATGACAATTTTTCTAAAACAAGGCTTTTTCATGAGAAAAGAATAAAAAAATAGAATCATTAAGTTTATCAGATGCTGAAAATAATGTTTCTGGACCTTAGGAAGCTTTTTTGACAAAGAACAATGTCTAAAACAAAGCATTGTAATCGATGAATTTCCATTTGAAAACAACTTCAAAATAGCACATTCAAGAGCAACACGGCATCAACTTAAATAGTCTGCAAAAAAATAAAGCTTTTTTCCCTTTCTTCGTGGATGAGTCTGATACTGTCCTTACAGAGGCGGATGCATTACCTTAAAAATAATTAGGCTCACAATTTTACCAGGCTTGAGAATTCAATGTATTGCTGGATAAATTGCGATGCAATTGAATACATGATCTTGCAGCACAATCACTCACAATAGATAGAAAAAAACAACATAGATTAATTTACAAGGGGTATGTCCAAATAAAGACGGACATATTCCCCTAACAAGTTGACTCATGTTACAAAACATAAAGCTGGTGTTAGTGTTCATCAACTTAAGCATTCTGCATGAGGGAGTCAATTTGAGCACATGACTTGGGCGAAGGCAACTGCATCATCTCCACCTCATCCAAATCTTGAGATTGGATGTTTATATCCTGGCAAAGAAACTGCTGTTACAGAAACACTCATGCAGTAAACAGAAAGAGATTGCATTGCATTATTACTCGAAAAATAAATTGCTTTTCTTCCACCGATTTATGCTCACAATAACATCGAGAAAGAAATTAAGAAAGAGATACCAGATTATAAATTCATTACCTGTGTCTGTAAAAGCGGTTGAGGTTGCTGATCTTGGTTTAGTGGATAAGCTTGCGGTTGAGACATTCTATAGTAAGGTTCTTTCAGATCAAGTTTACAGGATGATGTTTGAAGAATCTCTCCTTGTTCAGCACCAGGACCCCATGTTTTAGCTAAATGAAAATTGAAATTTGTTTATCCGACATGGTGCAAGATATAATGTAGTAATAAATTAGAAAATAAAACAACAAAAATTACCAACCCGACAATGTTAAATAGATTGTATAACTCTGAGCAGTGTGGGCAATCAAGTGCATCCTGCCAGTGATTTCTTGCCCTGCAACGACATATATTGGCTGTGAGAGGACACAGCGTAACTGATACCAGTGGGTTGTAGGTGAACCAGGGGCAGTGGTAAGCCACCTTCGAGTAGTACTGCAAATTTGGAATAATTAAGTGACAAATTAACTGATGCAAACAATCACAAATCGTTGATGAATAGAAAAAACAGACAATACTGAACAAGTACAAGAGCACGATTACCTTCCATTGAACAGTACATCAAACCAACATGCCAGCCCATGCAGCCTGGCACCCACATTGGCTACAAATCTGAGAGGAATGTCAATTTCATATAGCTCTTCTTCCTACAGAATGAAACATGATTTGAGCACATCTGAAAATTAAATTCTAAATATTGAAACAATATAACCCCAAAATGAATACAACCACAATGCTAACCCGCAATAGACCCATTGAAAGAGACAATGGTACAATAGCCTCAACAGATATGTGGCTTCGCAAATAAAAGTGTTAAAGAATTCTTATATATTAGCTGGAATACTAGGATGGACACTATATCAAAATAGATCAGCTTGTTTTCATTCAAAAGTGGAATTTATCAGCCAGTCGGGACCTCAGGAAAGTAACCAAATAAAATAGAGTAGGTGCTCTCACCTTTATTTTGGTAAAGTCTATCACATGGAACATAGGAGCAGCTATTAACAACCTTGGATCAAAAGCATCCACCACAGGCTGCATGGAGAAGAGAAAAAAGTGAAGTGCGAGGATATATCATAAATTTATTCACCACAAGATAAATTTTAGTAACCATAGCAGTCCAATTTTACACCTTTGACAAAAGACTATCATAATGGCACACTCAGTAGAAATCCATAGAAGGTAAAAGGCTTATTTGCAAAGATTAAGAAAAAATTTAATTCTACCCATTTCTGTTTTGTACATGGGATTCTAAAAGGATTCAAAAAACAATGCAGATAATAGAATAACAGAAAGCTAATCCAGTAGTGAAGGTTAAGAAACATTTCATTTTACCCTTTTTAGTTTATGTCCATAGGATTCGAAAAATGGATTAAAAAACTAAACAAATCATAAGCAATCAAAGACTGAATCCAGGACGATGTTAAATCATGGTATTAGGTGCCATCAATAATAAGAATTAAGCATTTTGCCAACAGTTAAGGTTAATCCTTCTTAATGGTTTCAACTGTAGTCTCCCTCTACCTCTAATAATAGGGCTACACTCCATCTAATCTTTTATCCTAAATCAGGCTTCTACCAGTCTTCACCATGCACGTCTAAACCACTAGGGCGAGACTGTACCATTTTCTCTTATAGGCACCATCAATTGTCATTAATTATTTGTATTTACCACAAGCCAATTTTCGGATCATCTGTACTGAGACCAACATAGCACTTAATTATATTCTGATTTGATGAGGGGCCAAATTAAAAATATTAAATTTGGAATGTAACTTATAGAAGTTACATAAATCAATTATAGTCCCTGCAGGGCAAGTAACAGTATGTTCAATTCTTATTATTCTCTTCATCAATATGTTCAAATAATGGTATAACCCATCTCAAGATACCTAATGCACCATCAATAAATCTTTGGACATGATGTTAATTGCTAGTGGTACCCTTGTTGTAGTTTCTCAAACATTGATAATAAAACATGTCAAACAATAAATCTCTCTTTGATTTATTTATCATTTACAAGCAAAACCTCACAATTATCACACATTTATCATCCCAGGTGTGCATGCAATCCGGCCAAGTATTAATCTTTCTTTAGGCCGATTAAAACTACATGGATAAAAACAAATATTTAACATTTATTATGAACAACCTACACAAGAGAGCTCACTTTGGCAATATCTTGATTCAATTAGCTCATTAAAAATGCTAAACTGATGTACAAAATTTACAAACAATAACCAAAATATGAATATTAATACACCAAATCCAAAAAAAAAAAAAAAAATCCAAGTGTTTTAAGCCTATTAATAGACTATTGATGTGCGGCATTCCAATAATTGAATCATAGTATAACAAGAAACCCAAATATCAAACTTCCCAAAATCAAACATGAATTAAGTACGGGGGACTCTGATACCAATTGTTTTTTTTTTTTTTGCAAATGATAATTGTACCTAACGGCATGCTTCTACTCATATAAAACCAAAATCCCAGTACAATCATACATTAATCCTTAATGAAGCCACATCCCAGGTCAAGATGAAAATAGAATGCGGAAGAGTACTTAAATTTTTCGTTAGGAATGATGAAGGTTATGAGAATATCAGTCAGTATGAGATCTTCCAAATGTAAAGGGCCTTAAGTTCCCTTTTTGGTTTTCTCTCCTCGTGGGGATGAAGAGAAAAGAATAGGAATTGAATGAACTATTATTTACCCTAAGAATGGGGACCCTAAGAATTACTTATGGTATATACACAGTAATTTTTCATGAAATTTATGCCATTAGCCATAAACTTAATATTAATATACCACTTTATAATTTTGGCTGATTAGATAAAGATAATGGCTTTATATTAACAGTCTTCCACTGGTCACATATGTATCCTTACATATGTGTCAACCTTTATGAGCTCAAAATTTTCCATTATATACATGTCTATTAGTTATATCAGTATATAGAACCAAATAATTTTTCACTATATTAATCATAACTACACCCATCAATGATTACTAATATTGACACAACCAAAAGACACATACTCATCATGAAAATCACTTGAAGGTAGCCTGTACATGTCAATTTTCTACTAGTCCTACTCTCCCTTAGTTAGATCATTCAGCAACATTATTATACAAAGTGTAATGATTGAATATCAAACTATTTGATTTTCAATCATTACACTTTGTATAACATTGATGATTGAATTTTGATTATGATGTAAGCATAATTACATTATTTGTTTTGTTCTCTTTTTAACTACTATTGCTTCAAGATTTGCTAATCAAAATTTGGTTCTGGTTCTTAATGGAACAAATTTTAATGACTGGAAAGAGAACCTGGAAATTGATCTTGGCTACATGAATCTTGACCTTGCATTAAGAATTGAAAAGCCCACTTCTCTTACGGACTCCAATACCTCTAAAGAGCGAAAAGATTACGAAAAATGAGATCGCTCAAATCACATGAGTCACATGATCATTTAGGGATACTATCTCCAAAGAGATAACAAGTACCAAAGATTTCGTTGCTAAAATTGAAAAGCAAACAAGTGCTCTTCTTCAGAGCTTGATTTCCATCAGGGCAAAGAAAATGTGAGGAATACATTATGGGAATGTCAAATATTGCTTCAAAACTTAAGGCACTAAAAGCTTGAGATGTCGGAAGACTTGCTCATACATTTAGTATTGATTTCTCTTCCTTTCCAGTTTGGTCAGTTTAAGATATCTTATAACTATTAAAGGGAGAAATGATCACCTAATGAGATAATTTCATATTGTGTGCAAGAAGAGGAAAGATTAAAGCAAGAGAAGACCAAAAGTGCTCATTTTGTAAGCACATCTAAAGGCAAGGGTAAAAGAAAGAAAACTGAGGATCCCAAGAATGAAGCTGCTAAGGGTCCAACACAAGAGACAAAATCAGGGCAACAACTATTCCTTTTGCAGTAAGCCTGAACATGTAAAGAAGAAATGTACCACATATCATGCTTGGCTTGCAAGGAAAGGTATGTTTCTTACTTTGCTTTGTTTTGAGGTCAATTTAACTTCAGTACCTAAAAACACTTGGTGGTTAGATTCTGGTGTCACTACTAACATCAGTGTCTCAATGCAGGGTTGCCTAAGCTACCAAAAGCTAATTGATACTGAAAGATTGATATATGTCGAAGATGAAAAATCACTGGAGGTGGAAGCTGACATTTTTAGATTATTATTATGTATTGGATTTTAAGAGAAATACTATCATTTAGATGGAATTTGGTTTCAGTTGGACAAATCAATTTCTTATAAAGTGGTACATTAATAATAAGTTTATGACTAAGGGCAATTGTCATGAAAAATTATTGTGTAGATTCCATAAGTAATATTCTGATTTAATGAGAGACCAAATTAAAAATATTAAATTCAAAATGTAACGGATAGAAATTACATAAATCAGTTTTGATCACCATTTTGTAGGAGAAGTAACAACGTTCAATTCCTATTGTTTTCTCTTTCGTCCCGATTAGGAGAGAAAACCAAAAAGGGAAGCTAAGGCCCTCTACATTCGAAATTTCACATACCTATTATTAATCTCATAACCTTCATCATTCCCAATGGAAAATTAAGGTACGCTTCCTCATTCTAGTTTCATCATGAATAGTGGTATGGGTTCATTAAGGATTAATATATGACTGTGATTTTGTTTCTATATAGGTAGAAGTATGTGGTTAGGCACAATTATTATTTGCTAAAGAAAACAAAACCCATCAGAAATAGGAGGGGAACAGAGGATTAGACTTGAGATAGTTGAGCTGCATAAACAGTAGTAACTATGGTAACTAGATTGGGAAATTGGGAAGTGATTATAAGAGGGAAAAAGAGATAAGACAGAATTCCCTTTTATTCTTTCTGATCCAGTTCTATCAAAGTGAAATGACAGCTTGGATCTTCACCCTTATATTGTGTGGACAAGCATGGGGGCTAGAAAAATAATTTCAAGAGAATAATAACAAGCTACAATTGGATCCAAGCCATGGAAGCCCACTTTGCACAACAAGAACATCGACATGACCACAAAGTTCAAGAACATGATCAAGCAATTTGTAGCAGCATCAGGTGAGTTGCAAACAGGAGGGAACCAAGAACTGGAATTGAGGGAAGCAAATCTGATCAAAGAGTGAGAAATTAGAAATCCTAATCTGAGGGAGAAGACGCATATGGAAGGGCTTGCAATTTGAAGAGTTATTTCTAATTAATAGAAGTGATTGATGGAGAAAAGATGCAATTGTTACGGTAGCTTTAGAAAGATTTGTCATTAGTTAGTACCAGTAGTTGGAAACCCACAACCAAAATTCATCCTGGCATGGATTCAAGACAACACTTATTCAGAGATTCCAACCAACAATGGCAAGAAGCCCATTTGAATCACTGCGTTCCTTGAAGCAAACTCAAACTACAATGATCTCATTAAACAATTTGAGAAGAAACGTGGATGCAATATGAGGGGAATGGAGGAACACAAGATGGAAATTTTCTTGAACAGGTTGAAGGAAGTTCCACTACCACTAAGTTGGCTGAGTCAGGCAGTTTTATTTCCTGAGCTTCTACAATAACTGGAACAATTATGGTGCTAATCAACCAAAGGTGAAGTCCAGTTTTTAGAGGTTGAAAGAGGCAAAAACAATGGATAAGGTGAGGGGAGTGTTTCAGGGGTGATGAGAAGCCCAGTCGCAATCTATCTGCAAATATACAGTTCAATCTAAAGGTACTATAGGGGAGAAAAGAATGAGGAAATGAAGAACAAAGTCCCCGAGCTCAGCATAGTGGTATTCACTAGTAGATCACTTAAGGATCGGGGGTAGATTTGAAAAGCAGCAGGTTGGTAGTATTTTTGGACTGTGGGGCTACTAAAACTTTATTTCCGCTCAACTGGTGAAGGTTGAACTTTCACATAAGGAAACTTGCTCAGTGGAAGAAGTTAGGACCGTCCACAAGGTAAAGAGCAGAGGTGTACGTGAGGGAGTGAAACTAATGGTCCAAGACATTCAAATCCAGTGTAACTTCTTTATTTTGGCAGGTGGGGAAAGAGTTGCTGGATTTGAAGAAATGAGGGCTAAGTTCGATGATTCAACACTGAAGGTCATGGTGGGATGAAAGAAGAGGTTATGCAGGGCAGAAGATGAACTGATCAGATCAGCAGCTTCAGCAAAATCCATCAGAGGAACCCTACAAGGAAAGGATCAAGGATTTTCTGTGGGCATTTACAAAATTGGGAGTGAAATAATTTTCATTTTTTCATTCATTAATCAACAAAGAATTCCCTTTTCTTTCTTCTTTCTGATCTAGTTTCTATAATACAGGATCCATGAGGGAAAGTAGTAATACAGAAGAAAAAAAGTGAGACCATCTCCATGTACTTATCCATCTTTCTTAAAAACACTACAGTCGGGTGTCTACTCAAATCCGGATAGTATATTTTTATTGGGACAACAAATGTACAATACCTAGAATTTGACAGACCCTAAAAGGTATTTTCTCCTATTAAATCAACAAAATTGCAAATATATTAGGAACAACTGGGTACAAAAAACTCACGCAACAGGACCACAAACAACATAAAATGAGGAACAGGCAGAGAACAAAGCAAGAGAGTTCTGCATCCTAGGGAACAAGGACTTCAATAAATTTTTTTAGGGTAGCCCTAATGCATCTGCTAGAAGACAAACTGAAAATTGCACAAAGCATAGCCCTCCAGCTTGCTATGTAAATTGTAAATATAATTCCAACTCAACTTCTTTGCCAGACACTCCAATTATGTCACAACAGATGCAGATGCTGATTTGACCCCTGGTATTTAAACCATTGCCACTTAAAACTAAAGCTCCAGAAGCAAGTAAGTATTTATAAAATAATAGAAATAGGTGCCCATTTATTAAGAACAATGAGTACATAACAAATGGAACACTTGCATCAGGAATGCATATAAACCAATTGAAATGCATGTAAACAATAGAATGATGAATTTGACAAAGAAGAGTATGAAAAAAGGTGAAGTTGCAGTTCAAACATGAACAAAGCATTTATATGTCTATACTAATGTCGTCTCTAAGTGAATTATTAGTCTTGTGATCTCCAGAAACAAGTAGGCATCGATAAAATATAAAAAATGTCAAGTTTAATTTGGAAAAACAGATATCACATATGTGAGGGATCACCAACAAACATTTTATACTGCATGTTCCTAATACATCCTACTCTTATTGGAATGGATCAGTTAGAAATCTTCGGTATATTTTTTGAAACCAAGCTAGAATGATACCTGAGAAAAGTATCCTTGAAAGGCAGTCCCATGTAATGGCGTCAAATCAACACCATAGTAGTTTTGTTGCTGCCAAAACAGTGCCTGCACAGTTAAAATAGTACATTATTGATCAATGAATTAAAGAAAAGAATAATATATCTAAAAAACGATCAATTTAAAACAACAGTCTGAAACAGGGATAATTTCTCTTCTCAACTATCACTAAAACAATGCTAGATAGTGATACAAATCTGAAACAAAAGTAAAAATCCAACGGATAACAACTTGGATTCTACAAAGCCAAAGTAATTGCTCTTTTAGAAAAGGAGGATCTTTCGAGTATTACAATCCAGTTACATCAAAGAATCAAAGAAGGGAAGGTGTAAAAAATAAATATGTAGGGTGTCCGTGTAAAACCACAAATAGATTGCACACCTTGTTAGCAATTTCAACAAACAAGTATTCATCACTGAAGGGAGCCATGTGAATCCTGCAACAGTACTAATTCAAGGTTAGTAGTAGACAAATAATTCTTAAATAAATATAAGCAGTTTTTTTTTCGAGGGGTATGCAAAAATAAAATTTCCAACTGTTTAGAACAAAAAGTGTAATATTTTGAATACCAAAAGGCACAAAAATACAGCATATGAACAAGAATCTGCATCTTGAAAAAACATATTGGGCTAAGAATAACTGCCTTAATGGAAGATAACTATCCTAAGAACTTGTCTCTGTACAATCATATTGTCAAAATCATGCTTAATGGTGTCAAAAACAAAAGAGAAAAATGTAGAGAATGTTTGCACCAAAGTACCTTCCTACACTTGGAAACATTTTCCCATTAGGGGTGAGAAACCTGTCTCTGGCAATGACATAAGACTCCAGCATCCTTTCATTGACTAACAAGGTGCCTGCACAACAACAGAGAAATCTCCCTTACAAATAAATTATCAACAAAATTGTTAAGAAACTGCTAATCCCCATAATACAATACTTGTCTTTCAAATTTTCTATGAAAACTTGTCTCAACACCACAAGCATCAGGAGAATAATCTATTGACAACAATATAGCTTCTGCATGGCCTACATAGTATTCAATTGCAGATAGCGGAAAGAGTGCCCACCTCCAAAATAATCACTATAGCAGGATGATGATCACTATCCTGTTATTTTATTGTATAACTACTTTGAAATATTTAACACAGACACACTCGCACACATATATACAGCTTTTCTAGATTTTTAAATATATATAGTCTGTATTATATAACTACATATGTTTTTATAATAAAATTTTATCTTACTTATTACATATATTACTAATTATTATATAATTTAGAAATTTTGTTATCACTTAATTTATTATATCACAGTATACTTTATTCAGTTTACTATATTATGTATTATGCTTTAAATAGTTTTTTTATATTTTATACGACTATTGTATTTATTATTACTCCTCTTTAGTTAATTGTATTATATATTATACTTTAAATAGTCTTTTTATATTTTTAATACTATTATATTTATTATTCATAAAAATCAAAAGGAAAAAAATGTTGGACTCGGACTGGGACCCAACCATTCAAAACAGACAAGATAGAAAAATATAATAATACATTATTGGTTAGTGTTGCCCCTATCTATGAAACAGACAAGAGGAAGCTGATGAAGGAGTGGGAGGCCACGGATGCTGTCGAATTGACAATGAAGAATTGAAGAATTACAGTGTAAAGGTAATAGAGCCTTGTCCACCAAGAGTACAAATGGAGATGCAGTTGCAAAGCCCACAAATCACTGATTTATCCTGTGAATCGCACCACAAAAGCCATGTGCTCTATGACGAATGTCTTAGCAGAAGCAAGGGGCTACTCTGCTCCAGTAACCCGTGATCAAGCGCTATTGACTACTTTGATTTGACTATCAAGATCATTCCCTAGATTGACAAAAACAAGTAGAACAGAAGCTTACCCATGGGCTCAGAGATCAGAATATCTGCTTTCTCAGGTAATTCAACATCCTCAACTTTGCCTTTAATAACCTACATATAAAAATATCACATGACATAGCCCCGACCAATTAGATAACTAATGAACCATGACTACTAAAGAAAACTAAGGAAAAATCCTACTGTAATTCGTTGACTGAGTATTGGGTTCCCAGCTATAAGTTTTTGTGCATATTCTGCCATTTCAGATGCTTCCACAGCATAAACATGCTTTGCACCAGCCTGGAAACAAAAGACAGAATGATAAGGAAACATATCATTCCTTTAAAAAGAAAATAAAATTATATGATGATTTTCTGGGGTTAAGAATACTCCCCTATGAAGCAAGAGATGTTACCCCCTTCTTGAAAAAATATTATTTGGTTTGGGATCTTGAAGCATACCCAAACCTTAAAACTTGAGAAAATTAGTTATTGACAAGTTTTCATTTTTAGGGAAGGTGTAGTTCCTTTTTAGCTTTGACCAGAAATCTACGGACATCAATTTTAAAGAAGTTTCTAAAGTCATGTTGATTGTTGGCATTCAGATTTGTTAATTACAAAATCACTTGCAATTCCGGAGTACTCCAGGGAGCAATTGACTGGTTTTTCCTTGCCGCAGGGGATAGTGATGATTATAATGACATATTTAATATTTATGATTACTATTCAAGTATTTTGTTTTGTTATAATGAAACACGCTTGGCATAGTTTAAGTAATTCATACTACTTACAAACTAAGTGTGGAACCAATTTTTGTCTAAAATGTTATATATATTAGGCTTCAAAATGTATATATTAAAACTAACTATTATATTTTATTTTGACTTTGATGCTACTTTATTTATTTCTTTGAGATACAATACAAAGTGTTATTGTATTACCGCTCAAGGAATTTAATAAAAAACAGAATAATAAAATACAAAGTGGAATTTGTTTTTTGTCTTGTCCCAGCATCAATATGTTCAGAGTTCATCAGCCTCCCTTGGCCACGAAAGCAAATAGTAAAATGTTTACTCCACTTAACAATTATGAATAACGTGCAACATCAACTTTTAGGAACATTATTACATATAAGATAGAGTGTCACATGACAAGTATAAGGGATTAAAGCATGAAAATTGATGCTGTAAAATAGAGTGCCACACCAAAGTGATATTGTGTTGCTGTGAAATAGGAAGCCCTTCAATAGTGCATGATATGAATATGTTCTCATTATCCCTATAAAATAATGCCTGTGAAAATTGCATGTTACAGTAGAATTTAGTAGCACATTATTAGCTATTGAAAATGAACTCAGACTTGCTTCCTAGACAAGAAGAGGGGTACTAACAAATAAAATTTATAGTCTGGTTTATAAACCTTTTCAGGGCATAGACAGGGCAGGTTTCCAAATCACTCGAGTGGTCTAGTCCGGTTTCCAGACCTATGAGTTATTAAACTGATATGACAATTTACATTGGCAATGCATTAACTACATGGATGTTGATATAACAGGGTAATCTGCCAAAATATCAGTAAATTTGAAGTAAGGAAAAGAGTACCCAACCACTAAACTTTACTTTAATATATAACCCTAAAATTTAATTCTATCCTAATTGATCCCTGAACTTTGTCCTATTTACAAATAGAAACTTAAGAGTTTTTTTAAATAGATGTCTTCAACTTTAATATCATTTGAAATTTTACCCTTTTCACAAATAATTCTTTATATCAAGTTAGTGATAAATTTATCTTAAATATCAATCATTCATTAATCTTTTTTTTTCATGTTAAAATTCACTTTTTCAAATAATAGAACGTAATAAATTAAAAATTTAGAAAAAATAAAATAAAAAGAATACTAAAAAGTCTTTATTTGATTTTTTAATTCTTACCTTTATTATGTTTTAATGTCTAAAAAAGTTATCTAGAGAAACAATATTAAAAAATGTTTTCTATTTTTTTCATTTTTAGTAGTTTAACCCCAATTTAATATAATAATATATTGTTTAAAAAAGATAAAATTTTGAGGATTAATTGAGATGAAATTGAAATTATGATGTTTATATGCAAACAAAAATAAAGTTTAAGCATCAGTAAGGACAAAATTAAAGTTTTGCAAGTGTATTTGCAGAAGAGGTAAAGTTTAGTGGACCTAAATGTTTTTTCCCTACGAAGTATAACATGTTTGAGAAACTTCATTTCTTTTGGAAACGTTTTTGTGTTGGTTCAGCTTGGCAGGTCATGTGATATTTTAGTCCTCTGCACCAGCTGTGGTCCAATTTTGGGTCCTGATGAAGACTTTATACTAAGTTTTGGAAGAAAAAATGGGCAGAAAAGCTACACAGAATTTCTATTTAATTGGAAGCAATTACATCTAGCATATAGACTTGGCAGATCAGAGTGTTAAACTACCTGGGCAGCAAACAATGACAAAATTCCGCTACCAGCACCAACATCAACTACTACACGGCCAATGAAATCTGTGCGATTCTCAATAACCGCGGCATAATAGGTTCCTATAGCAGAAAATGAACAATACAGTAAATAAATAGGCAGAGGTAAAAACAAAATAACTACATAAAAAACCTCTACAATACAATTAGGTGTAACCTGTCCTCACATAGTCCTGCAACATATTTTGTTGATGCAGAAGTTGTCCATAATAGTGGAAATACATTTTTGCAGAAGATGACTCTATCTTTTCATCAAATTTACTTTTAGAAGTTATTACATTAGTTCCATTTGATAAATTACCTCCTGCATTAAAAAAAACAAATATGTAATTACACAAATATCTTATCTTACCAATAAATAACCAATGTAATCATGAATGCAGTGAAAAGAATTGCAAACCCAAGTTGAAAATGAAGAATGTTTTAACCAATAAAGGTTATACGACACAAATAAGCCTACCCAGCTATACTGAGATCCAATTCAAACATCAGAATAATACACTAAGAAGCTATATCTTTCATTAGTAATCAAATATCCAAAGTTTCTCTACTACATGTTACCTGTCAAGTCACATTTCAACACTCCAAACTTCAATTTCAAGTTCTTTAAACATCCATTTAACCATTCAGAAAAACTAAAAATACATTGAAAGGTGAAATTTTGTCAACAGTAGCAACAATGCAGTTGTTTATACATGTTATTTTGCAAATCAAAGATGGCCCGAAGTAATCAAAATCAACAACAGAGATTGCCAAATGCCATTCTACAACAAGGTTTACACAAATTTCCAAAGCAGCACCTTGAACAATGAATTCCTTCTTCCATTGTTGGAATACACAATGGAAGGCCTCACTCTCTTCCTCATTTCTAAACTGTATAGCGACTCCACTGGAATAAGATGTCTGGTTCAAAAATAGCAGAGTTAAAAGGCATACATAACTATATGGCATTACATCAACGAATTAAGCAAGGAAACAACACATCGCGCCAACCTCACACAAGCATAAATATCACTATTCAAGGCAAAAACAACAGCAGAGCAATAATACCAATTCTTTGAAGCTCAAATCTTCTAAATACCCAAAAAAGAGTAACAAATTCATAATGTGCAAGCCACATGAAACAACACCAGCTGAGACAGCAACAGGTGATTAGACATGTGTACCTGTTTGTCAGCACCAGACCCTTCCACCATGCAAACCGATTCATTAGGACCTAACCTAAATAGCTGTAAACCACCAAAAAAAAAAACACAACAGCACTTCAATACACCGCAACCATAACAGAGATATCAAATACACCATTTGCCCCACACTTCATCCCCAAGCGAACACACGAAAAAACAAAGAATCTAGCGAGATTAAAAAAAAAAAAAAACAGAAACCTACCTCAATATCTGTAAGATGAGCATTTATAACAATACGGTTAGATTCGTCCCGAATTTGAAGACGGTCACCAGAGAACACAGCAACCCCGGGCGAAGTAGAGGAAGAAGATGCATAAACCTCAGAAACCGAGGCTAAAGCAAACTCTCGCTGCTTCCTCTTCTGCGCCACCGAATCCTCCATTTTCGTTTTTCCTCCAACCTCAATCTCAACAACAACAACGCTCGTCTTTCTCTATGATTTTATATATATGATAATATAATTATCGCATGTAAATATATAATTGAATAAATAAGGTGTAGAATGATGAAATGGAACTACGTGTTACATAATTCTGATCTAAGAAATGGAACTAAACTAGGGTTTGGGGTTGTGAGAATTGAGAGCCGCCACAGAGAGAGAAGTTAGTTAAACGAAGGAAGAGATTTCACTTTCGGGTTTGGGATTTTATAGTGTGTTTGCGGCAGTGTCAGTGTGTGGTGGTGTACTTGTTGCATTGGAGAGGGTGAGTGAGTGAGGAGTTGGAAGTGTGTGTCTTACTCCACTCCACTTTACTCGGATGTATGTATGTATCATGTGATGTATGGATGTATACGAATACCACATTTGCGTCATAAACGCATGCTCCTTTTCCACTATACTGGGCCCCACTAGGACCCGATCAAGTTGTGCCTTGGACTCCTTCTCAATTACTCCCTAGATTTTTCCTCAAAAACATTTCCCACCAAAATTGCTGATGACCCAGTTACTCACAATTGCTCCATTCATCATTTTTTAAAATATTTATTTTGTAGAAAAAAAGGATTTTATTGTTTATATCAAATTTATATTAGTATCTTTTATTTTAAAAACTAGTTTTATAAAAATATTTTATTACAACGAAATAATTGTTCGAATATGTTTCCTATCTTTAAAATATATAGCAATTTTTTTCTAATTTTTAAAATGTCAAAATGTAAAATTAATATCTACAAAAGAAATTTATGTTAGTTTTTCATATGGATCAAATATGAGATAAAGTAAAGTGAAGTTGATAAATCATATGAAAATTGAATAAGTTTGTTCAGTAAAAAAAAGTTAAAACTAAAAAAAAACAGTAACATCATTATCATTAGAATAAGTGTCTAAATAATATGAAAATAATAAATGAATTTGTTATTATTATAATTATCTTATTTAGTGAAAACTTAAAACTATGAAATTCTTACATTAGGTAAAAAAAAGAATATACAAAGAAAAAAGTATAATAAAATAATGTTTAAATAAAGAAAAGAATAAAGATTAAATTTAATAAATATTTTAAAAACAAAAGAAAGAAGAAATACAAAAGGCTACAAATATATGGTTTTAAAATATACAATTCACAGCATCTATTCAAGAATAGTTACAAACTTAAAAAATTAATTGGTTTGCAAAAAGCTATGACTAAAATCTATATAGTTTTTTAGCTAATAAAAAAGTTTAAAAAAATAGATTAAACGTATTGAAGATAATCTTAATAACTAGTAAAAAAGAATCAATGTAAGACAAAAATTAATTTCAATTTTAAATAATTTTGTTGGTTTAAAAGACTATTATAGGAACACTTAATAATTTAAGACACCAATAAATAAATAAGAATGTGCAGAGTGATGGACCAAATCACGCGAACTCAGAATACATGTTCTTAAGGCCCAGGGCATTCTTAGCTGTATACCATCTGAACCAGGTTATCACACGATGGTCAACAACATTACACATGTGACGCGCTAAACCTACAATAAATGTAAATTATTAACATGTTTAAGCTTCTGAATAACTATTTTAAAAAATGAAAAATATTTTTTCACCAGCAGAAAACTATTTTAAGTTTAAATTATTTTTATTTTAATTCATAAATAATTTAAGATAAATTAATTTGATTTTCTGTAGCAAAGTTGGTGAAGAAGGAGATAGAAACATGTCCTTAATTGAAGTTTATAATTTTTATTCCAAAACAAAACGTATTCAATTCAGAAAATTTCACAGGTAAAAAGCTCACATAACATTGGTCCTCCACCGACAAGTATTTCTTAGCTTCTTAAATATTAATCAAGGTTTCTTCACACACCTTCACTCTTTCTTCCTTTCGCCTCTCTCTCGAATCGCATCTGAGAAACCTGCTCGATTTCGCCGAGTCGACTCGAAGAGACAATGCTGGACCGGTGCCTTGGGATGCGGCGCGTGCGACAGATACAGCGTGCATGCCGGCACAGCACAGTGACTTTCCTCTGCCTATTCCTCACTGTCGTCGTCCTGCGCGGCACCATCGGGGCCGGCAAGTTCGGCACGCCCGAACAGGACTTCAATGAGATCCGCCACCACATCTCTGCCGCCCGTGCCCGCCGCGTCCTCGAAGAAACCAAACCCGACGCCGGCACCAACACTGATTCCAACCCTAACAATTACGCCACTTTCGATATCTCCAAGATCCTCGTCGATGAGCCTCCCACAGAGGACGAAAAGCGTGAGCCCAACGCGCCCTACACTCTGGGCCCTAAAATCTCCGATTGGGATGAACAGCGCCGATCCTGGCTCCGAGCCAACCCTGACTACCCTAACTTCATCCGACCCAACAAGCCACGTGTCCTTTTAGTCACCGGTTCGTCCCCAAAACCGTGTGAAAACCCGGTCGGTGATCACTACCTTGTCAAATCGATCAAGAATAAGATTGACTATTGCAGGGTTCATGGAATTGAGATTTTCTATAACATGGCTCTTTTGGACGCGGAGATGGCAGGGTTTTGGGCCAAGCTTCCCTTGATTCGAAAACTTTTACTCTCTCACCCTGAAGTGGAGTTTCTCTGGTGGATGGACAGTGATGCAATGTTCACCGACATGGCTTTTGAGGTTCCCTGGGATAGGTACAAAGATTCCAACTTTGTTATGCATGGGTGGAATGAGATGGTGTATGATGAGAAGAATTGGATTGGGTTGAACACTGGGAGTTTTCTGTTGAGGAATTGTCAATGGTCTTTGGATATTCTTGATGCTTGGGCTCCTATGGGGCCTAAGGGGAAGATAAGGGATGAGGCTGGGAAAGTGCTCACTAGGGAGCTTAAGAATAGGCCTGTTTTTGAAGCTGATGATCAATCTGCTATGGTTTATTTGTTGGCCACTGGGAGGGAAAAATGGGGTGACAAGGTTTACCTTGAGAATCATTATTACTTGCATGGCTATTGGGGGATTTTGGTGGACCGTTATGAGGAGATGATTGAGAATTATCATCCCGGGCTTGGAGATCATAGGTGGCCTTTGGTGACCCACTTTGTGGGGTGCAAGCCTTGTGGGAAGTTTGGGGATTACCCTGTGGAGAGGTGCTTGAAGCAGATGGATAGGGCTTATAATTTTGGGGATAACCAGATTTTGCAGATGTATGGGTTCACACATAGGACACTTGCTAGTCGCAAGGTGAAGAAAGTGAGGAATGATACTGGCAATCCTCTTGAGATCAAGGATGATCTTGGATTGCTTCACCCTGCTTTCAAAGCTATCAAGCTCCCTTCTTCTTGATCATGGAGGTTATAAATTACATTGTGTCATCGCGATTTGGGAAATTGCAGATAAATGTGACTGATGCGGTTCCAATTGTGGTCTACGAGAGCACAAAAATAGAGGTTGACATCGGGGGTTAGTCCAAACTCGATGATGTTAATGTTGGTTCATTGTCCTAATTCATACTTCTGCTTCTTAATATTCATTTATCTGCCGCCACAATACTCTCATTGCTTTGCAGTTGCCTATGATGGTGATGATGATAGTGTTGAAAATTGTAATCTTTAATTTATTTTGCCTTTGAGTTATAGTGATTTTTTTGAAAAGAAAAAATGCCCGTCTCTAGTGTTGTTCATTCATTTTGTGGATAAATTGATTGATGATGAATTGTCGAATGCGAAATCATTGCTTTCTTTATTTCTGGATGAATTTGTTGTCCTTCTGTTATCTTTTCTCGCTTTGGTTGAAAGGTGGAGAGGGAAGGAATCAATCCCTCGTTAAGTTAAGTAAAGGTGTCTTCTCCTACTTAGTTTGATCGTTTTGTCCATGATTTCACACAAAAGACATAGTTAATTAAAACGGCAACTAAGATAGATGGAGTTAAAGGATCTTAAAGTTACATTGCAGATAGTGATGGTTTAACTGGCAGGGTTATGTGAACTAGGGTTATGTGTGAACTGAACTGCCTTGGAGAAAAGCTTTATAAGGTGGTAATCCCATGTGTATTTCTCACTTTTCCATCATATTCGAGTAGTTTTGGTGATCATTTTTTTGTTGCACAGCCACAATTTCAAGGATGTATAGTGGCAAACATGGAGCGATATTACATGCCAACTATCATTTCAAAGTTTGAACTCAATAACAACGGAAGGTCTGAGTAGAGCAAACCATTGATCATGACAGTATATACATTATTTTACTGGTACACGCGAAATAATAGGTAAGTTTTATATATATATATATATATATATATATATATATATATATATATATATAAGTATATATTACCTAATTTTAATGTAAATATGTTTTATATTAAGTGCAATGCATAATTGTAGCAACAAATATAAAAAAGATGGAATATGATTTTTATTCAATTTGTTGCTATCTTCTTGTTTTTCGTCTACATAAAATTATTATTTTAAAATAAAGTTTATTTTTTTATTAAAATACTGATTTTAATTATAATATCTTAAGAATTCCCGTTGTGGTTTTAATGTTATCATTACAATACACAAAATACATTTAAGAGGTGAAATGTGAAATAGCGATTGTGGCGACAATATGATAAAGATTAATTAACTATGATGATGATATTTTATTAATTTTGTCCCATTTGTTGTGTTTGAAACTTGCTTCAAAATATTTGAACTTTTAAAATAAAATTACTCTTGATGAAAAAACTGTTCTTGTTGTATGTACGAGTGTAATTTCACAAAATACATTGGAAATGTATATATATATTTTTTTGAGTTAACACAATGAAAACTTCTGAAGTTGTTTGCTTTGAGAGTTGACCTATCGATTTATTTTATGGTAATTTATTGATTTTGGACATAAGCTTTGAGACTTCTAATGGTAACCAAATGTCGCTTGCACAAATTGCTTCAATATATCCTTCAATAGTGGCGGAGGCAGAGTTTTCCAGCATCGGAGAAGGTTTTGTTTTTACCCTTCCTTGACAGTGTCATCCATTTCTCAAAAGTGAGACAAGTCGGGATGATAATTGGGTTAGATTTAAAGGATAGACTCTTAGTCTGTCGTAAAATTTATGGATAAATAGAATTTTAGTCACTCAATTAGTTTTCGGAAGATTTAACGAAATGTTGATTATTTTTTTAAATTATTTATATATTAATATATATAGTTAAAAATATTATAATTTTTATATTCTATTATTAAAATATGTAATTATATTATATATTATACTTTAAATTATAAACATTAAATAATTAAATTTAAATTATTGATTATAATAAAATATGTAAACACATAAATATAGTATTTGTTTAATTTATTTGATAAAATTATTAATTATTAAATATTAATATAATTAAAGTTATATGCTTTTAAAATTAATATACAAAAATATATTGGTGGATTATAAGTATCTTTTTTAAAAAAATTAAATTTTGTAATTTATTCTAATTTTTTCTTTTTTACTAAAACAGATGTACCAAAACTCATATTAACATCATATAAAAAATTTTAGTTTTACACTCTCTTAAACTTCATAATAATTAGTTATTTAATAAAATATTATATCATCTAAACAATTACCTTAAAACTAACTATCTATTTGGTACGAAGAAATTAATGAAGAAAAATACTATAGCTGGTACTCCCAAAACATTACATAAACCTTTAATCCAGTTTCAAGTTCAAATTTTAATCATGGTATAAGTTTAAAGAATCAGTAATTTGTTTTTTCTAATTTTTGAGGAAAAATTACAGAGCAAGCAAATAATTTTGTTAGAGATTACGTAATCTATTTAAATGGTCTCTCATAAAAACAAGTGATATTTTTTTTATTCATATCTTTGGTATAATCTATGAATAATTGAGTATTAAAACACATTTAGCTAACAACCGACCATAAGTTACTTGTTAAGAAGTAACAAAATTAAATGTAAAAACCTAGTGTTTTGAGTTCTCAATTTATATATATATATATATATATATATATATATATATATATATATATATATATATATATATATATATATATATATTAATGAAAATGGATAACAAGGTCAACGACAAAAAAAAAATAAAAAACTCCATGAGAAATTGTAGAAAAACAAGCATAAGAAGCATAGACGAAGAGCAAGAGAAAAAAAAAATCCGAGTTCTGAAAATAATCATTAACTAATGCTTACACGAACGACATTTAAAAGCGTAACGCTATTGAAAATTATACATATTTTTGTCCCTAAATGAATAGACAATCTAAGAGGGTATTAATTTCCATAAAGTAATCGATAACTACAAAAGCGTAATCAAATAAACATTAGCTTGAAACTAACAAGAGAAAGATACATAGCCAAAGCCAAACAAGGTTTGGCTAGATCTTTGGCAAAAGGGTTCACCTGTCTAAACCTGAGATAACACATAAAGAGGGTCCCAAAGTTCAAGAGGCAAGAAATCAAAGCAAGCCAATAAACACCCATAATGAGGACAAGAGGGTGCCACACAATGCTTAGAGAGACATGAGCTATGTAAAGAGACAGTGCATCGGTTTCCCTTTGGAACCCACCATCAGCCCACACTAGCCATGCTGCAAGACCCATGAAGAAAGATGAACCCAATAAAGCCAAGTGAATGAACCATAGTGGTGCGAACCAAAAGGGCTTTGATATGTTATTGTACTTTCGTCCTGAACCAAAAAGGATGATTATGGTCAATGTGAGGGTGAATGGAACTGCGATGCCTATTGCTAGGGAACGTAGGGCTCGCCTAGCTTGTGATTTCTTCGTGTCATGCAAGGTTTGAGAAGCCATTGCAACTTTTTTTGGGGGAAAATTGGAGAAGAGTCATGGCAATGGTAGGATAGAGATTAAATTGGTAAACGAGTGTTTTGGAGCAAAGTTAGGAGAGTGTTTAAATTAAGAATAGGGTATTCACATGGGAAGTAATCATAGGACATGATTGAGAATATTGATCACTAAAACAAATCGTTAATTATCCACTTACTAGTCCTTTCCTTTTTTCATCTAATAAGTATTTAAGGAAAGGAAAATTTTAGTAACTTACTTAGAGGAGTTAAATCATTTTACTATTCTAAATAAAATTATGAGTCTAAGGAACTTCATGACCTAGTAGTTCATGGGAGGGAATGAAATATTGAGAATTTGTATCAACATATCAACTTTCTTCCACCAATAACTTCATCCTCTTTGTTGAAATGGTTCTCGTAAATTGTCGCCACCATGTTATAGGATTTTTCAATCTTCACAACAAGTTTTGGTTGAAAGTTCCTCTAATTACCGAAAAATTGTGAAAACATCAAACACATTCTCAACAAATATTATAATAAATTATTTTATATAATTTTCCTTTCATATTGATTTAGTGAAGTTATCTTGAACTTGAAACTTTTACCCCACTCTTAATAAATTCAAGCTTACAACCATAAGATAAGGATGAATTTCTCTACGCTCTATATAAACAATGTTCTATCAAGTGCTTCAAATGTAAATTCAAACAATATTTCAAAGAGTTTAATTCTCAAATAGGATATAATTTTATGGTGATCCTAATATGTTTTGCTCATCATGGTGGAAAGTTATGCATTTATGATCACATAAGGATTCCATGTTATGCCGAATTCTTAACATTTGCTAAAGCTACTTTATGTCTAAGAAAAAATGGATAAAGTATTTTATTTTTCCTGTACTTTAGTATATTCATTTTAAAAACAATTTAAATTCATACGTAATTTAAATATTTTCAAATTATAAAATTCTCTATACAAAAATATTGCAAAAAAAAAATTGTTTACTTAAGAAAGTTAATCAATAATGAGCCAATTGATAAAAATTGCGAATACTGATTACTCAACAAGGACTATTTAATTGGGTTTTAATTATTAATAGTTGTAAATAAAATAAATATTAAAATATTTATGACATTGAATTATTAAGTAAATAAAAATTAATTATAATTTTTGACACAGTTATAATGTCTATTCAATAACTAATAAATATATGAAATTAAAAAAATACGTATACTTTTTTCTAATTTAATATGAACAATTTCCTTTCATAAAAAATTGTCCTCTAGTTTGCATAAAAGACACTAATGTAAGTTTCTATGAAAAATATAGAAAATACATGCGTTTTTTTTTAAAATCATTTGCGATTAGTGTCACATTTAAATGAACGGCTAATGGCTTTGATACTAAACAAGGCTTTTTCAACCAACGAGGGTTAAAAAAATTTCATTTTACTAAAAGGGGTTAAAAAATTTTATTTTTTCTAATATGGGTTAAAACGTATGTGGAAACACGATTTTATCTTTAAAATCGAGTTTTAAAACATAATTTTTTTTGTTGAAATCATGCTTGAAAATATGATTTTATCTTTTTTTAACACTTTTTTTAAAATATATTATTTAATAAATAATTATTTTCAATTGAATTATTAATTTAATAAAAAATTAAAATATTTAGACAAATATGATTAAATTTAATTCACCATATTTATATTAAAATATTACATGTATATACATTATCACATAGAAAATTAATTATGATACTCTGACCCACAAGGTGGTCTTATGATTTATCGTCTTGGTCTACGTGATTGATCTTGAATAGACATTTGTTATGTTTGTGTAGTACGTGTACGACCCTGTGATCAGTGGCGGATCTTGACAATCGATCTTGGGGGGCCAAATAATATATTATTAATAAATAATAAATAAATATAAAAGGAAGAAAGAATATGAAATGTTTAAAAGATAAAATTGTAGATATATACTTAAATATATTAAATGATCATTAAGTTTGAGGAAAACAAAATCATAAATTATATGAGAGTTACAAAACTGAGGAGGGGCTGGGAGGATAAAATTGTAAATATACAAGTAAATATATTAAATGTTCATTATGTTTGGGGGGGCCAAAATCATAAATTACATGGGAGTTACAAAATTTTGGGGGGGCCACGGCCCCCCTCAGCCCCCAAGATGATCCGCCATTGCCTGTGATGGTTGATGTTGAATGTTTGTTTCCCTATCATCATCATCTTCTTTTTCATTTGCATATTGCATAGAGGACATATTGGACATAGTAGTCACGAAAGATGTTTGATTATATGCTGATGGTGGTGTCATGAAATAGGTGAAAAACATGTTTGTTTCAGATGGAAACGAAGTAAATGTATGAGGAACTTGTCCTCCAAATAGAAATTGCGCAAGTAAATTTTGGAGTTGACCAACATATCCAAAATATGGATAAGGTTGTTGATCATTTGACTGACCAACACGTTGATTACTCGACTGACCAATATGTTGATGACTTGACTGACCAGCATGGACATGACTAGGTTCGCCAATATATTGGGGTTGTTCATGCTGTTCTACGTATCGTACTTGTTAAAAAGTAAAATTAATATTAGTTTGATATGAATGTTATATATATAAAATAAAATTATTAATATACTTATTTCTTCATCTCGAATCTTTTTCGTAAATAGAGGAAATATATTTGATAGTATGCTTGAAAATACCATATCATATATGTTGTATTTTCACGTAAGTGGGCATTCCCGTTGAACTCGTTTCCTTGAATTAGTCGATTGTGACGACCATTCCACATAGTAAACTAAGTTTCATGATATTGAAGCCAAAATCTATCAGTTCTACCTCTCATGTTTTCTTTGTGAAGTTTGTCAAGATTGATCGGGTCTTCTAGAATTGGTTGACAAAGTCCAAATTGCCTCATAACCCGATTTGCTAGATGAAGCTCAACAATAGAAAAACATATTATTGGAACTATAGCTCGACTCACAAGAGAAATCTCAACATTTATTAGTCGTTGTAACCCAGGACGACGATAAGGAGTCTACAAAAACTATATTATTTTATAAAACTTGTAAAATTAGAATTATTATCATTTAATAAATACATATTGAAAGTTGTATTAAATGAAATACCTCCTTTGCTTTTAATTGATCAAATGTTAAACGTAATACATGTACATCGTATGTAATCATGTTGGACCTTTGACCTGGTCGTGACCACCTATTGCATAAAAAGAAAATACTATTATAAAATGAAGTAACATGAAAGAAAGAAATGGAATAAAACAATATAAAATAAATTTGAATACTTTTTAGCCAATGAGAAACCATACCCTGCAACAATCTCCTCATTGGTTAAATCGTCTACCTTAGGACAGATGCATGTAATATGGTCCCATGTCCAAGCTTGAAGCAATAACATGCATCCTCCAATGTTCTTCTTATGTTAATCAATGTCATGATCCAACGCTCTATATAAACATGCCAAAATAGCTGATCCCCAACAATAATTTGAAACTAGAGTTAGATTCTGCAATAATATAAGATACATTAAATGCACTCTAGATGTTGAAGTATCTGACAATAATAAACTCCTTATTATTGTCAGTATGTGTGCCTTGACATGTTGTGCGACAACGTTATCGTCTGTATCATCTGGAAGGTGTTGAAATAAAGTGTTTAACCAAGACAATTTTATTATATTCCCTGTAGCAACACCTTGCGGTGGGGCGAACCTAATAATTGTTCGCAAAAGATGGTCAAATCTCCACTACTGAGACCTATAACTGGTAACCCATCAATGGGCAAACCTAATTGTAATGTCACATCTTCTAATGTAACTGTGGCTTCTCCGATGGGAAAATGAAAGGTGTGAGTTTCAATTCTCCACCTTTCAACTAACGTTGTGATCAAATGATGATTTATGTCAACAGTGTTAGAATTAATTTAATTAATTCATTCTATTATGTGACTCATGTAAAATATAATGATGAACTCAAATGTGATTTAATAAAATATAAGGACATATGGGTTATTATGTGAAGTCAAAATAAAATAAAGACAAAATAAAATAAAAACTTACGGTAACCAACTTGATGAATGTTGGTTAATAAAAGCGATTAGGGTTCTGTCTCTGGCAATAAGGTCTTTTTACGATAAACCATTAGGAAAGCATGAGAAGAGAAAGAAAGACAAATAGATAGATTGTGAAAAGGAGATTGGAGAACGAAAAGATTAAATAATAGATTCTCATGGATCAAGTTAGTCTTCTTATTATGATTCATATATTCATTATGTTATATTATGAAAATCAATAATCTAAAGATACTGTCGAGTAGTTTTCTAGAATGAATTAAGAACGTAGGAAAACTACATAACGTTTTACATGTAGTATTAGAGCCCTGATTATTAGATTTATGATTTTCCTTTTGTGAAAGTTTTTCCCAAATTAAGATAAATCCTAATTATGAATTTAGAGATTTTTCCATTAAATTAGTATAAACCTTGATTTATTTTGGACCTCCTACTGTTTGGCATCAATGGTCGCGTAATTAATTTATAATGCAAGTTAACGTACTCCAATATGGAATTAATACGTGTGGCCTAATGTGCAATTGAATTGCAAATGTGAATACGTGAGTGAATGACTTCGTACAATTATTTTAATTTGCATAAAATGATTTTATATTTATGAATTGGTAAATTCTTGATCGAGGAATGATTGAATGATCAAATGATCAAACATAATGGTAAAATATTTGGGAAGTTATTGAACCGATTAACTTGATAAAAGCGACCAATAGCATGAAATTGCATATATGTTTTTGTATACATGAAGTGGCGTATTGAAGCCGTAGATGATAACTCGCAGACTCTAATTCCCACAAATGATTGAAATCAAGCATGACTTGGGATCGATTCAAATTGTTAAACATGATTTTAAAACTACGAAAATAAACGTGAATGTCTAGTTTCAT